GCATTAATTCATATGTAAAATAAATTACATTGTAAATTATCAAGATTTAACAAGACTAATTTTTTTTTTTTGTTCTTGATATTCTAGATACCTTCTTGATAATCTACATTAAAGAAAACTTATTTATTTAAACAGGTTTTGGCAGTGACGTATAATTCCTCCCCTTCTTCTTATCCGCCAGCGGCCGCGCGGTTAAAATCGCTGAACATTAGTAGTTCTACTACCTTTGGTTCAAATTCGGACGAACGGACAGGCTGCATGCATTTCTGTCATTTAATCCGGTATGTAACAAGAATGAGTCAGTGAGAACGTCCTCTATAAAGGCATTCCTTCCCTTCGGCAGGTATCCCCAGTGTGTTTTACCTTTTAATAAATTTAATACTCTTTTCTCTCTTTTTTGATTTGTCTGGGCTATATTTTTACGCTTAAGTTACGTGAAATCGCATGTATATAAAAGTTTGATCGCCTTATCTGCGATCATGAGCGCAAACACGCATGCGCCATTTAGAACGAATTATTCTCAAAATAGGGTGAAAGGATGGGGACTTTCTTTCCCTCAAGCAGCATATTCTTTCCGGAGAAGAGAAGGCTTTCACGTGATTTTCCACGTTGCAGAAAGTAATAAAGCCCCTTTTGGACAAGTCTATGTGTTTTGGCAGAATGCCAGCCAAGGTTGCGATTGAGACGGTCGAACTATATTTGTTTCATAATCTTTTGTCCCACGTTATAGCAAACACACTGGATACTTAAAAATACCCATGCCTTCTCCGGAATTCCAGACCGAACCCAAAACTGGCTCGTCTATCACCATGCTAATAGGGCGGCAATTTAATATCTAAAACAAGGCGCTAAAAAATTCGCAACGTTTTAATCATTGAATTTTTTATATTAAATAGAGGGAGAAAAATAAAAATTTTACTACGTTTTATTGCGATGTTCTTTATAGCGTTATGCTTGTTTGAATGTGACTGGCTATCATATAAAATAACTAAAAAATACACTCTCAGTTGCAATTTATCCTTAGACTTCTAACAAACCTAATTAATAATATCATAGAGAATATTCTCTCTCTTTATCCCCAGGTAAAATAAAAGTAGAAAACAGCATCGAACTCATTAAGTTTCAATAGATCACCATGCCAAACAAATACAATAACGTCTTCACTAAATCTTCACACAGGAGGGAAAATATTTATTCATGCAGAAGAAACTTCATTCAGATCAGAGAACACGTCTATGATGACCTAAATTTGGCTGTTTAATATTATTTTATTTATTGAAACGTAAGGAATAAAAAATTAAACAAATTTCAATGCATTTTTTAAGTAGGCATCGTAATAAGAAGCAAATGTGTAAGTCATCATACTAATCTCTCTGAAATGAGTAGAACCTGATTCATACGAATACTGGCAGATGAAATTCAAAAAATAAAATCGGAATTTTAATCTGGCTACCATGTTCTCCAAATTAATTTGGTAAGAGAATTTAAATATGTCAAAATATGTCAACCATATTTGCGACAGCTTGGTTTAGAAAATAAGTAACCACAACAATTTACTAAAACGTAAAAATGTTTTCCACATGTAAATAAAGCAAAAAAATTTCCCCTTTTTTTTAAACAAATTATATTTTCACCTAAATAGCTTTACTACGTAAAATAAAGAAACAAATGTAATATCAAATTCTAATTTTTCAAGACGCCAGTTTTCGGTAAGTTTTAAAAAAGCCTTATTTGTCAACACCACTACTGCGCAGAGCATGCCTAAACATTTCCTGTAAAATTAGTTTTTAGATTTGCTTTCATGTCAGCAGAGAAAACAATTTTCAGAGAAGATATCAAATCGCGCATACTTTGCATGAAACGTCATTCATATTAATTATGCAATATATATAGAAGATAAAAATATGTAAATTAAAACCATAATTTAAATTAGCAAAAGCTCCTTTTTACCTTATTCTTAATTTGGGTATTCCCGTCTCTGTTCTAAAAATAGTAACTATGTTTGGACTGCGTCGTTTCTAGATCAGTTCATATCATATGACTTGTATAACGCTGACGACTTGCAGTGTCTCACAAAAGTGATGGGACACTTGTGCTTTACAAAAGGAAACTGTAGTAAAATAAATTAAGAAAACATGTAAAAATTTTTTGTGGGTGTGTTTCATACTTAAATTTAGTAACAATTATTACATAACATACATAAATCAAAATATTAAAATATTCATTTAATAAAAATATAATTGTTTAGAAAGGAGCAAAAAATGGCTCACATAAGTGATGGGACACTTACTTTTACTTTTCCATCAAATATTATCCAAAAATTTTACTTTTTAAAAGGTTTTAATATTTTGTTGGTTTTTCCTTTTACTTTTAAAACATGATTTAATCTTGTTCGAATGGATTCGACTAATTTTTTTTTTTTTTTTTTTTTTTTTTTTTTGTGATTTCTGGAATGATTTTACCCCCATTCTTCTTGAATGAAGCACCGATTTTAATTGTTGTTTTGAAGAAATGGTGTGTTTGCGAATTCTTGATTCCAATTTCTTGCCAAATATTTTCTTTGTGATTTAAGTCTGGAGATTGTGGTGGTGTTTTTATTATTTCAGGATAGTTATACAGCAGCCAGACTCTAACGTTCAAAGCAAGTGTGCTTGGGGTCATTGTCCCTGGTAGAATTTAAAATCGTTATGAAGGTTCAATTTTCGTGCCTGAAGATTTCAAATTTTGATTTAAAATGTTAACATATACTTGTGCCTGATCCATTATACTGTCAATAAAAACAGTAGACCAACACCAGCGGACGACATACACCCCCATACCATAACTCCTCCTCCACCATGTTTTACTGTTAGCAACCAAGTTTTGTTTGCGAAATTCTTTCCTGGCTTTTCTCTACACCAAGATTCTACCGTCAGAACCAAATATATTAAATTTACTCTCATCAGCAAATATAACTTCATTCCAGTAATCAGACTTCTTATTTATGTCGGATTTTGCGAAAGCCAGTCTGAGTTTTCTATTCTTTTCACTTACAAAGAATTTTTTTCTGGCTGCTCTACCGTGATATCCAACAGATCGAATTACTCTTCGAATAGTCTCAGGATTAACAATTACTCCATATAATGCTTGTAAATCAGCAGCAACTTTAGGAGCACTCATTCTTGGATTGTTTTTTATTTTGAACAATACTTCGCTTTATTCCATTGGATAGCTTTGATGTCGGCCAGGTCTTCTTTTATCCTGAATCATATGATTCTTTTTATATCGTTTAATGATACTGAAAACTGTTTAATGACTCATTAACTGTTTCAGCAGTTTCTCTAATAGATTTTTCACGTTCAATATGAAATTAATAACTAATTTCGAATTTCAGGAAAGTTTCTTTCGTTTAGCATCATGGCTGCACAGATCTAAAAACACAAAAATTCCAAAACAAACTGGAGAGAAAGACTGCAGACGATTTTTATAATTATTGCTAATTGCTTTTGAGTAAAATAAAAACCCAAAAAAAAAATTTTTATTGTAATACGTAGTAGTATCTAATGGTGTCCCATCACTTATGTGAGCCATTTTTGCTCCGTTCTAAACAATTGTATTTTTATTAAATTAATATTTTAATATTGAGAAAATGTATGTTATGTAATAATTGTTACTAGATTTAAGTATGAAACACACCCATAAAAAATGTTTACATGTTGTTTTAATTTATTTTATTACAGTTTCCTTTTGTAAAGCATAAGTGTCCCATCACTTTTGTGAGACACTGTAGCTAATTTGGAACTTAAATTGAAATCTTTCTCTTAATAAGTTGCCATACTGGATAACTGCGCACTTTGCTTCTACCTCTCATTTCACTAACAAGCTGCTCTCTTTCTATTGCAACAGTATCAATAATGTAAATGCTCTTGAATAGGCACGATTAGAGTGCCAAGTGAATTGTGGCCACAAATGTCTGTTGAAATGAATGATGATGAGTATTTTATATTCCTTGGCTGCCAAATTTACTTTCCAATATGGATCAACATTAGAAAAAGTATTTTGTGTGTATGTATATAGACAAAAAATGGTTAAAAGCTACCTTTATATATCCAATTTCTTTATAATTATGATAGCTTATATGATTTCAAGTTTCCTTATTGCATAAAAATTAATATATCAGCCTTTTTCACGTAATATTTAAAAAAAAACCTTAAAATATTCTTCATGCTTTCTCATTAATTATTCCATCTTTCTTTGAAAGCTATCAAAATCTCATTAATTTCAAGTTTACTGAACGTACTCTTTGGGTTAGATAAGGTTTTTAGACAATTGCATCATGTTTATATTTCTTTTGTTTCGAAGGCTGAAGTTATAGTTTGGAGATCAGTTTACGTAAATTAAATCAAACAGTTCTACGAACTAATTCTGACGGCATATTAAAGCACTAAAACACAAAATGTTGCTTCCGAACTGATACATCACATAACTTGGTCTCCATCCACCACTTTTACCGCAAACTTTTTCTTATAAGTTTAAGCGATAAATAAAAATGAATGACACATATTTCCATTACTTTTATTCGGAATTAAAATGAAATAATTGCTAGTAACAAGATCAGTTCGTTCGCATTTCTTGACTAAGTACATTCCCTGAATCTTCCGAACTTGAGCTAATAAATAACTAAGTATTTAATTTATACATCCAAGGACTTTTTTGCCAGAAAGAAGCTTTATTTTTAATGCATTTCTTTTAAAAATAAATAAATAAATACTGGCAATAAATAAATACTCTTTTTAAACTAATTTCCGATTTTGCTCTAATTTCAGCACTAATACTATAGCATAAATTACATACACGTTAATTCAACATAATTGACACTCTCTTCGACCTGACACAAGTTGGATTCTACTCAGTGCAATTTTATTGTTAATACGTTCAAGATATCTTGATTTTATCGGAAAACGTTAACTAGAGTATTCTTTTCATATACAGAAATAACAGATTTTTACACCTTTACTTACCTCAAAACCAAAGTGCCAGGATCCACTGTATTCTCCTTGGCTTTTTGGGCCTGTACAGACACCATGGCCGTGTGCTTTCCCATCCTCCCAACCACCGCAATACGTGCCACCATCATCAAAATCAAACCTCCCACCCGGCACAGTTTCACTTCGACCCCCTGCCATCGTTAGATGGCACCCAACTTCAGATTCTGGGGACCATTGCTTTCAACCTGTAGAGAAGGAAAAAAAGAAGAGTTTTGTTAATACAGATAAAGCATAAAAAATCAATGCGTTGAGAATTATGAATAAAAGCTAATGACAAACAAGAGTTGAAAAAATAGAGGTATCATTAGAAAGGAAAGGAAATGCTATTCTGATTAGTCATATAACATCAGCACATTGCAGATTTCTGTAAGTTACTCACAGTACCAAACTGGTCCACTTGGTTTTCTGAAATTCCTTTTTTACTTCCTTGTTCGAAGTAAAAAGGAAGTATTGTAATCGCGAAGACCTTCAGGCAGCATATTTCAACGAAAATATCCACTTTGACCGCTTTCGACTGCAATTTAACGATGTTTTTGCGTGATATCTGTACGTAAGGACAGAATAAAAGACTATTTTCCTCCAAAAAAAAACTAAAAAACTGCTTTAAAATGAATTCTGAAGAAATTTTTCGTGGCTTCTGTACGAACGTATGTACGTACGTGCGTACGAACGTACGTATCTGGCATAACTCAAGAACGAGTAGCCTCAGAACGTTGAAATTTTGTATATAAGACTACTATAACATGTAGATGTGCACCTCGTATTTTATTTCAATCGGCCGGCCGCGCCAAACGTATATAATATATTTATAATATATCCACTCTGTTACCCGGCTCAGTGATCTCAGTTTTCTTTACTCTTATATGTTTTGTAAATTGTACATTTTTCGCTTTAAAAATTATTGAATTTTGTTGTTTTTATCTTCCGGTTAAGGGTTTTATGCCTTTAGTAAATCTGTATGCAATATTTTTAGAATTATCAACAATTTTAAAATTGTTTAAGTGTCGCTAAGCCTAATTTAATGGCGGCCATTGCTCTTGTTTACATTTGAAACAGCTGAGTAGCGGATTTGTTGCCCATCTAGAGAAACTTAGCTTAGCAACAACAAAGATAACGCCTTCATTTATTATTTACATCATGCTTAATCCTTTCTGGAATTTTTTCGAGGAAATAAGCCTTTAAGGTTTACTTCGTAATTTTTAATACAGATATTTTGACTTTTTATGTTTTTTGTCGATGCTGACGGGGGGGACCCCACATATTTACTTTATTTTTTGTATAATGTTAATTTTGAAAATTCTTAACTCTTTTTATAACACAGTGAAATCAACAAATTTTATAACGCTCTGAAAATCAAACAAATGATGCATTTTAACTTGTAGAAACCAGAACTTCTACATTTTTATCATTGTAGGTGTTAATTTAACATTTTTGTTGAAATTATTATCCGGAAAAATAAAATAAATTCACTTTTATAGGCCTTGTATAATTTTCGCACACCGACATTGACCCATTTTCCTTAAATACGCTCGCTCGATCGCTGTTGCTGAATGCGCATGAAAGCTGTTGTTTCCTGGTGGATCTACGGATCATTCCCTACCTTTTGAAAACTTTTGATGACGTTCTGAAATCAAATTTTTCAGGACATCTCTTCCTGGTTGATGTTTGAACTTGCAGACACTTTTCCATTGGTGTACCCACAGTTAAGACCCGCAGTTGTAAGAATGAAGTAAGAATTCTTTAATGAAGTAGACTTAAATTCAGATATTTTACATTCCTGATATCTTTCAGAATTATTATATTTCTCTATAAAACATAGCGATTTTGCCTTTCAGGTTTTTGCCTACTCATTTGTCACCTTCTCTTCAAAGAATTTCTAGGCATAGTATTTTCCTATAAATCGTTATTAAGTGCTTTCTCAGTGGTAAAAGCTAGACAATGTGTATAAGAAATCTTATCTGGAACTTGTGTTTGTTCCTACAGTATTAAGAGAAAACTTTATATAAAAGATAATATAGTTTAGGAGAAACATTTTTTTAGTTCTGCGGCAGTATTCTCAGATCACTAGGATTTTCCTTCAATAAAAAAGAATATATTTAAATGAAAAAATATTGTAGAGATTAATTTGAATTTTGAAAGTGAAACATAAAAATTCAACTACACCTTTGCTGAGAGCGAGTTGAAGACCGTTCACCTGCTAGCTGTATATGTTAATCAGTTCCACAACGAAATAACGAACAGCAAATACGATAATTCCTTACCTTCTTCCCCATTTAAAAAGCAACTAAGAGATAGTAAAATATCATTGCGCAGTCCAAAACATTTAGTTATCTTCTTCGAGCGCTCGATGAGTTAATATCAACATTGAGCAGTCAAAGTATTGAGTAGAATGTGTATCCACAATAAGAGGAATTTATTCAATCAATCCTAAACTGAGTATTATATTTCTATATGAAAGTTCGTAGCTCAATCTGAATTATAAAGGAAGTATTTTCATCAAAAATCTGAAAGACTTTCTAGGAGATACAGTCAAACAAATACACATGGTGACGTCTATCATCCAGCACATTTTAATTCGGACAATACTACAGAGACTATTTAGGCTTCTGAAATAGTGAAACGTGAAAATATAATATGCCCTCGCCGGAATTCGAACCAAGGGCCTTCCATCTGGTTAACGATGTACTAATCGTATACGCCATGAGAGTACGCAGAAGATAAAGCTTCACACTTTCACGCGACCTAAAATGTGATGGACGATAACTTGTCACCACCTGGCTCTGGTCAACTGGATCTTGTGATTTTCCCAAATCGCTCTTTAAGTGGGCAGAATATAAAGACTAATCTCGTTTTCTTTTGCATGCTCTCGAATATCTAATGTCCTCACTGAGCTTCAAACCACAGATCTTCCACGAGCCAGATGGAAAAGCTAATCTCTTATATCACGAGAATAGGTAGGCAAAATGCAATATTTCCCTACAAAATTGGAATAGTTAATCATAAAATGATTTACTTCTTTCTGAAGTCAAATTTTAAGCCTGCGTACATTATAAGACACTGTTGAGTCGAAAGATTCTCGAAACGAAGTATCGCAAACGAAAGTGGATTTGGGCATTCATTATGCTACCTCCGACAGCCTTTAAATACTTGTATGATTTTTTTTATATAGAATCTTAACTCGTTTCTACATTTCTTTGTTAATTCTTTCCTAAGTGAAACGGACTTCCTTAATTTTTTAAGACTACTTCTCTCTCCTTTCCCATCATAAAAAACAGTTTTCTTTGGGAAAGAAATTCTACGAGAACTTATCCATAAAAAATAACTTAAACTGACACAGATATAGACAATTAAGTCAATAAATTATTTTGAAATGAGTATATTTCTGATAATATTTTTATTTTATTATTATTCATCCTATCCAGTTTTCGAAAGATTTGTTTCGGCTATTGTGCAAGTGTAAACAAAAAGTAAATTTTTGTAGGTGCATGTCATAACAGTTATTTAGGAGTTACTAGCACACATATCAGTAGCAACTATTTAGGAGTTGAATTATTTCAGCTATTAAAGCATGCCAGTAATATTAGCAAAGACAATATCATTTGGCATTTTTTCTCTTGTTTAAAGTACCTAGACCTGTTATAAAATCATTATTCATCCTATGATATCAAAATTATCATATGCCGTTTATATCAAAATTTAAACCCGTTTATATCAAAATTTAAAAGTTAATCTTTTTTAATTTCAAATTTACTTTTATTGCCAATACACAGTACTTTGGATTTTCTTCTTTGGTATAAGCCCCTTAGGTGAACTAATAGAAGAAAGTTTATATTTGGATAGAAACGGGAAGAACTGCCGTATTAAGCTCTGAATATAGGTTTCTGAATTTTAGATCGTGTGAATATTGGATATGTATTCTGCGTAGGTACATTATATATATATATATATATATATATATATATATATATATATCACCCGCCATCCAGTCAGTATTTAGGTCAACAGTTGTCACTCCGTTACTGAAAACTAGGCGTTCGAAACTCGAGTAACATTAAAGTTCATGGATAGTATTGAATTAAATTATTTTGATCAAGGCGAAGAATGCGAGGGCTCTATTCTTAAGGGTAGTGATACTATTGTGGAGAATGTTTAAAAGAAACTGGCTCATATTACGTTATACTGCCCATTTGTTGGAATCTGAGCATAGGTCGAACTAACGGTATTCAGCAATTTTAGCATTTAACCGCTGATGGGTCGTCAATGTTTATGTTAACAGTGTCCACGCTGAGACTCCACTTAAAATCCTTTGACGCAAAAGGTCCTTTATAGGTTGATAGAAAGGAAAGAACGGCAAAAGACCGGAGATGTCTTTCTCTATAAGTGTTCTCAACCAAAATTAAGGATGGATCTGCGTAGAGTCATACTATCACAACCTTATCCCGAAGATTATGATCAACGGCAAATGCCATTCTGACCCGCTATCTGCATGATTATTAATGGACTTGCTTGTATTTAAATACTCAATAACAAGCAGTAATTAATATTAACATTTTAAATGCATTTACTTTACGGGCAATAAAAATTACGTGATAAGCAGATTTTGCTTTTGCCGGACTCATATTAAACAAAATCACCAGGCAGGATTTCCCTCAGTCACTTTATCCAGCTCTAACCTGGCCGAAGCTATAAGAAATTATCTCATTCCCCTTGCGTGTTCTCTCGGTGTAAGTGGTTAGCATGTTTAGCCCCTGGGTGTAGTGTCTCGCCCCATTCACCCTTTACGCGGGACCAAATGTAAGCAATTCTCGTAATTCCCATGCGTATGCTAGTACAAATGGTAAGCACACCCAGTTATCATCGGAAGATTTGTGGTTCAAATTCCAGGGAAAGGAGCAATCGATTATTCCTATTTCTCAGCTCCGAAAAACAATAATGTCTGTAGCTATACTTGGGCCGTTTAAAGCTCTCACTAGACGAGGTAACATATTGCCTATATATATTTTGCATAATATCTCAGACGCCATCAATCCGTTCTATACAGGGAAATATATTGCAAGGAATATGTCAACGGCGCCAGCGTGAGTATTGGGGAACATAAACTCAATGGGAAACAAATTGTTAGTGATTTAAGTGCCAACTCCCAATGAAACTGAGCACGGAAATTACAAGCTATACAGTACTGCTA